TTTGGTAGGTAAGTTTTCTCCTGAAAAAGAATAGTGATAATTCAAGGGATAGGTATTGACAGGAGGTGCCATGATACATTTTGATGCATTGTCCTCTACGTGCTCAGGTAGGCTGACTTTTATACTCTGAAACATTTTTTTGAGGAATTCATTGTTTCTTTCTTGGGATGTCCAAAAACATCTAAGTCCCAGCCAAGTTTGTTTTCCATTCATTAACACCTTTGATGGGGCTGGGAAGGGATAGATTTTTGAAGCACTCCAATTCAAATGTGTCTTTTCATGTTCAAGAGACATGGAAATGATTGATGTCTATACTGTTTCTAACTTGGTGTGACTGTCTTTCCGCCGTTAGCCTGAGCCTTGGTTCAGACACATTTATCACATGTTTTATTGCCCAGGTGGCATGGCAGTAGCCCCTCAAGCACATCACAGGTGATGAACTATTCCATTAAGGTGTCCCGTTTCCCTTGTTCTTCCCACCATGTTTTATAAAGGGAGATGAATTATACAAATTGGCTATCCCAAACAAATCATCCACAGCCTTGTAAAAACCATGAAGTACTTATAGGTTAACATCAAACAATATCTAAGATTTAGGCATTCTCCAGCGGCGATAATTGCATTTTAAAAGAAGTTCTGTTCACAGGATCCATTTTCCAGTCAACAAGATGGATGCTCTTTTTAAAAGATGGATACCATGCTTTTAGAAAACGATATCAAAATGGGTCAGTGATGAATTGCTGGTTAATCAGGCTGTGCCTGAGCAAATGCCTGGCAAGTGGATGCCGGTCAAGTTGAGGAGGGAAATGATAATAGAGCTCTAGTATCTAGAACAGTGCATCCTCCCAGCGATTGAATAGAGTAGGGCTCCAGCTAGGTCAATACGTTAAAGTTAAAATTGTGGATTGTTGTGCTGAATTAGCATTCATTTTTCACCTTGGGAATTTAGTGCAATCACAGATATTACATGCATAGAATGCAGTCATGAAATTGAAAGGAACTCCAGAAGTTTGATGGAAGGACATTTCCCTTCATATGGTCCTTAATGTCAGTGATTCAAGACCTGTTTGGAGAAAACATAAAAGAAAATGGGTTGGCCTGGGGTTACCTGTTGCATTTTCCGAATGTTTGGAGATACTTTTACCTTCTCATATTACACTCCCTGTCACCAACTAATTTCCCAAGAGTGTTATGGTATGGAAGGGAAAAGAATTGGTGAGCTAGGATATCAGCCATCTTTTAGAATGTGTTTCCACACTCCTCATAGCCTAAATCACCTGTCAGTCTGTGCTTTTCTCAGGATACTGTTGGCCCTGGGATCTCCAGCTACACACACTTCTTTACAGGGTGTTAATAATGTAAAATGATTGTGAGCGATATAATTCACCAACACACAAAAAAGTATGATTTGTAGACCTGGGAGGCAGTGTTACCTCTGTGATGGAGTTGCTAGGATGGACAACCAGAAGCACCTCAGATGTTTTTGGCACAGTTCTTAGCACACCTATCCATATTGGCTAGATTTCATGGGGAGTGATAGTCCAAAATATCTGAAAGCCGCCAGGTTGCCTGTCCCTGTCTTATAGGTCCTAGGATGACCCCACGTACATCCAGCAACTTCTCAATTTGTATGGATTTCTTCTGCTAGTGTTGAAAATATCTCTTGAGATTTAAGGATTTACTTTCTGTCAAATTGGATGTTATTAGGCTAGATGGACCAGAAATCTGACTCAATACAAAATACGTTACCACATTAAGGGTCTCTAATGATTGCAAATGATATTTGCGCTTTATAAAGTGGAATATTATCATGATTTCTGTGGTTGGACTGAATGTAGAATGTAGCGCTATGTAGAGGGTCCCAAGATCTGACTCGGCACTTGAATGCTCTGTAGGTGAACCCATTTGAGAGAATTGATAATCAAGGCTTATTGAAGAGCAGCTTGATAAAATAGGAATGCATTATAATTCATAATCTGTAAAATGAATTCGAAAAATGTTTCAAAACCCACGCTGGTTGATGCTTTTATTTAAAGTAGCTCTGATGGAGAATGTGTGTTGACTATCAGAAGTGGCTTGGAGAATTGAATGAAAAAAGACATGCTAATAGAACAAGGCCTTTTCAGATCGTATCTGATGAATCACAGACTTGGTTTGTGCGAGAAAACTTGGCTCACCAAATGCAAGAGAATAAAAAACTATTATTTGCATTTTTCTGCCACTAGATAACTGGGAGAGCAAACATTGATAATGCTTGTATTTGACTCCCTTACAACGTTGCCTATGTATCAATGAGAAGGTAGCGGAACATCTTCCTGGTAAAGCCAGACTTTCATAGATGTCACATATTCATTTGAATGAGATCCTTTGTTGGAGAAGTAGGAAGACTGTTTGATTGGTTGTTGCCGTAGAAAGAGCTGGAGCCAGACCTGAGAGGAGCTTTCAAAGGCTTGTAACAAACCAGCTTGTGTAAGCTGTATCTTTGGCATCCAGAGAGATTGGCACCTGGGTCCTGTTTTCACATACTCTGGTTCAAAGTCACTGGTCATTACAGTAATCACATGTGCAAATGTATCTGTTTATGGAGCTAGAGGTTAAGAGTTCAATTTCCCACTGCGGCTCTAAAAGGGACTAGACTCAATGACTCAATGATCCCTTTCAGCTCTGCAGTTCTAAGATGAAGAAGAAGTGAAATACAACACATGTAGAAAAAGATGCTGGTCCTGGGAGGCACTGAAAAGCTTGAATATCCAAGACCTGGCAGATTATAATGAAAGCCATGTTTCTATTGGATCTTACTAGGTTGCTTTTATTTTAAGTATGACCACCATTCGTTGGTTAGAGAGAGAAAGAGAGACAGGGAGATACATGAGTAGGGTTGGTCAGAGAAGGACCATGCTAGAGAAGCATTCTTTCTGTAAATTCCTGAAAGCCCCACTGGTGTCTGGATTCTAAAGGTTAAGCTATTATCCCATTTTCCAAGTTGATGCATATACACACTGTAGGAAGGGAAGAGCTGGCTTTCAAGAACCAAAATTGCCAAATGTGTGGCAATTCTTGTGTATGGACGAGATTTTAGGGCCAAAAAAGTAGCAATGAAAGCAGAAGCAGCAGTTGAACAACAATAAGTGTGAGATGTTCTAGGACTATTTGATATCAGGACTCTAACAGCCCCCCCACTTGACATCTTGGTGAGATTCTCAGTCAAGATCAGTAATAATGGGATAGATTGACCAGTTATCTGATATTTTAAGAGTAGAAAGAGAGGAACTGAAAATAGCTTGGAGGACAAGAACTGGCTGGAGGATTCCATTCATAGTCAAGTAAAGATGAGAAGAATCTCTCTTCATTCTTTTCTCCTGAACTTGCCTGATCAGGAACCTAAGGGTTGGACTGAGACATGAAGGGATGCAGCTTAGGAATTGGAACACACTGTCACATGCTTAACGCATAATGTACCACCTTGTTGAAGATTCCTTCTTCACCATTCTCTTCCCTGTCTCCTTAGCTTTGCCTGAACTAGAGGAGAGTATCATGGAGCCACGGGTTGTTGTCAGAAATGTTCACTTGTATTACACTAGTTTGAACACTGAGTAGGTGATAAACATAAGTAGAGATGGGGGGTGAATATCCCCCAGAGGTGGAAATAACAAGGGTCCAGCCCCATGGGGCCAGACTGTCCACTCACTATTCCGCCACTAACGCCAGCTCAACAGGGCCTTTCTGTCGCTCCGTTGTCCAGAATAGATTCGCCACTCCTGTCAGGAGGTGGGATGACAAGCCTCTCTGCCAAGTCACAGAGTAGCTAATCCATTGCGGACAATGGCACGATAGGAAGGCTCCATTGAGCTGGTGTCAGCGGTGGACTGGTGAGTGGACAGTCCAGCCCCATGGGGCCAGACCCTCATTAATTCAACCTGTGGAATAAGAATACGAATATCCCCATCTCTAATCATAAGCTGTGACAGTTCACTGATATAACACTGTCACTGGGAAGAAATACAGGAGGGTGTAGATGAAGCCAAAATTGAGAATTTGAACGGCGGTAAGACTAGGATTTCAAATTGACATTAGTTTGAAATCTCCTAGCTGTTCTTTCACAGTTCCCTAGGGTACAAAGTAGATGCGGTTCCTCAACTCCTAGGCTTTTCTCCTCCCTGTGTTCTGTTTTCCTTTGGAATTCTATCTTCATTTAACTGCTTTCGTGTGTCAGGACAACAGCCATATGGTACCTCTCATGTTGTGGGACACAGAATATCAACCATCTTTATTCTTTGTCTTTGCAGTAAAGATATGTAAAGGGCAACATCACAGTCTTAACTGCAAATCCATTGAATGTCGCTTGGCACTTGGCCTCATGTGGTTCTGCAACCCAGCAAGAATAATTTCCAAAGAAATCATGTATTTAAAGCAATGAACTTTGGTATCTGTGGAAAGGAGTCTTGTTCTTCTTAGCTAAAATTTACCTGCAGCATTTTGTTGGGCTTCTTTTGGAAACTTTCTCATAAAACTGTTGGGCACTAAACAAGGGTATGATGTAGGTGGGAACTTGATGTGCACCAAGGAAAATGTGATAAATGGATTACAGCAGATCTTAGCTCTGGCAATATTTCAAAGGCTAGTGTTTGGCAGCATTTATTCTTGGTTCCCCAGAGTCACTCTCTCTGCTTTTCGATGTTTCTATAAAAATGGAAACAATATAAGCACCTGAAAGCAAAAAGCAAGTCTGAATAGTGGTGGGTTTGCCATTCTCTGAGTATTTTTAGCATTATGTAAATAATAAGTTGGGTATTATTTTGAAAATGTGTACCTTTTACAATGTAATGGATATTTTGCAGACATTTTTATTATTTATGTTTGTTAGCATGCACTGAAAATTGAAGCCGTAACTTTGCTTAATTTCACTTGATTCAAGCATCTCTGTGCAAAATGTTTAAACTTCCTTCCTGCATTTGTTTTTATTAGTCCTACGAGGTCGAACATTATTCTTACTTTTACAGATGGGAGCTGAGACTGAGAGATAGTGATTCAACCCAGGACACCCAGTGAGTATTAGATTCACATTGCATGCATGCTGTGCATTGTGGAAAATGGTGTTCTGTGGTTTAGGACCCTTGGCTAAGACTATTGTTGCTACCAAGCAATAGTTTTTAGCTGAATGCTTAAGGAAATACAGGCCAAAAGCAAAGAACAATGCCATGTGAAATGTAGAGCTAAATAACATGTTCTTTTAAGGCACTGATCATATTTAACATGTTGGTTAAAAACACACACGCTGCAGTAGTCCTGTAGAGACTGGGACCAAGGCACAGGAGGAGTGATTTGAATTTTTTTTGGTACCATTATCTTCCCAAAACTCATATAGAGACAAAATGGCTGATTGCTACAGGAGTCAGTCAGTTATGTTTGTCCAGATTTCCCAACACCCATGAAACTTGGTCCAGTTCAGTTGGAGGCATATGCTTCCATGAGCCAAAAGGCATCACAGGTGACTCTAATAGTAAGGGCAAGACTGGACAGAGACAAGAACAGACATAGTGAAGGTCTTCCAGTCACTGGAGGTAGATATTGTGTGATTATACCTCCTGATTGTCAAGCTCTTCTCCTCTAACTTTGCATCAGAAGGACAAAAACACAGATGCACGTAAAAAAATAAATAAAGCTTTTTAAGGATGGTTCCTGATACGTTCAGAGAACTGGTCTCTCAAGGGTAGGGAAGTCACCCTGTCAATATCCCCTTCAGGGTTGCAGCCAAGGCTTCACAACTGCTGTGGTAAGCATACAGACCGCTGTTTCCTCTCACCGGCAACCTGAGAGTTGCTGGGATCTATCTGAGACTGTGTCACTCTCCACTCTCTCCTTCGCTGACTTTTTTTCTGTGAGCACCAGGAGGGATGAGAAACTTGGCGCACAACAACAATTTTATCCCAGAAACAAGTTGCAGCTTTGCAGAAGATTTCCATTTTCACAGCATAGGCCCACTCCTTATCTCTTCTTCCTTCTGCCACCCATGCAGCTGGTATTTAAAACCAACAAAATAAGGGTGTTAAATGTGATCACGAGTTTGATATAATGTGCCATTTGGCCTTACTGTTTCTCCAGTAAAAATAGCATCTTTGCTTGTGTTGTCTAGGTTTCTCCGCAACTTTTTTTTTAAATCCCAACAAACCTAACCTTTAATAATATGAATGCTTCAATTCACATCTCAGTACGTTTTGAACTTTAAAATAAGTCTGGGATACCTTTTGGCTTGCTTAATTGTTTGGACTTCAGCTCCTGGAAGACTCCGCTATTATAGCAAGTGGTAAGGAATTATGGGAATTGTTTTCCAGACTGTCCAGAAAGCCAAAGGTTCCCCGCCCCTGCTTTAAAATCTACAAATGTTTCATTGTAAAAATGAGTATTTCCTATATTTTCTGATACTTTCATCCTCATGCTCTACTGCGGGAAGCATAAAGTAGGCAGCATGAAGTAATTTTCAACCTTGCAACCATAAGCTTTGCATGAAATTGCATGTCATTAAATTTGGATATAGATAACTATGACAATCTAATTGAGTGCAAGTAGGTATAAAGAATGCAGTACTGTAGTGAGCTATCAGCATAAGCACCAAGAGAACTTCACTTTGGGGGAAGGAATAAAGTTAATAATGAGCATCAGCTGATTTTGCCTTAGGCCATAGGACCATTTATAATGAAATACAGTAGAACTCCCCAAATTCCTGCCTTGGATTGCTGTAATCCGAGTGGATGGATCCATTCACTTCAAAGATTCTTTTGCATTTCGACTCCCAGGAAATACTTTGAAGGAAGAATCTCTGAAGTATATGTACAGTAAGTGCTTGCACTCTTTTCACAAATCCCTTCATGATGCAGGAACTTTTCATAAATATATGACTGTGTACATATGGAAAAAAAGAAGTTTGGTATAATTGAATGATGTTGCAGCTCCAAAACTAAAATAAGGTTAAATGGGGGAAGCGTATGGCCCCGTTCACTGTGATATTGGACTGGTGGAAGAAAAACATCCTGGATCGATCACTGTTTCATAAGCTGCAGATGGTGTCTTTGGCCACATATCCATTCCTTTGTCCCACTCAGCACAGAAAGCATGCCCAGTATTTGGGCAGAGAGGAGATTAATTCATTGACACTTGGAGTTTAGCTTTACTGATCCAACTGACGTGCTTCATCACAGAGATCTATGAGATGAAGTACACAGGCTACAAACAAACACAATTGAGTGGAGGGTGAAATTATGTGAAATGTGGCTCTCTCTCCAGCATGTCTCCAGTTAGGCCACATTATGTTTGTTTGTTTGCTACACTTCCCATCTGGCTACAAGGCCACTCTGTGTGGTTAACATGTGTACTTCCATCATTCAGTCTTTTTACAGTCTTATGAGAACACAGGAAGCATCCTTATACTGTACTGAGATCACATTGTTTGCCCATCTAGCAAAGCCCTTCCCAAGCTAACACCTTCTAAGTGAACCCACTTAGAACCCACCCAGGGACTGTAACCTCCAGTATCTGTAGCCACTATGACCAATGATTAGGAGTGGCAGATGTTATTGTCCACAACATTTAGTTGCAGCGTACCAGGAAAAATAGAGCACCAACCTGTGGAACTAGCAGCTACCAGTTACGAAAAGCTCACAGGAATAAAAAAATATTTGGTTGCATAAACAAACAAACAAGCAAGCAAAAAAACTAAAACAAAACAAAACAAAAAAACACCTAGAAGAGGACCAGCTTGGAAGGGAGTTATTTCTTTCCAAGAAAGCCTTCTCATGCATCCCCAAGAAAATGCCTCTTATGTTTGCAGGGCTAAGAGAAAGGGCTCCTCTGTGGGCCTCAGAATCTTAGATACTCTTCATGGACAGCTTGGCGGACATCACTGAGCACTGTTTCATTCCACCCCCACTGCAGAAACACAGGAATCCTCCCTCTGAGAGTAGTCAGACTGGCTTCTGCTGACAAAAATGTGAGGTTAGAGTGGGGAGCAACAATATGTTTCTGTGCACAGTACATTTCCCAATTCCTGCAATATTTGCTTTGCCTCTGTTCCCACTCAACAGCCTCTGCTGTTACAATGATTGTCATTTCCCTAGCTTATTTGTGTAGAATAAAAGAGAAATAAGATTAAATCAATATAGGCTCCATTGTTCTCATGTTGGAGTACCAGGACACACCTTTACCCCTATTCCTAAAGCCATAAATATATAGAAGTGTATGGATTTGTCATATGTTGACATTAAGTGCTATTTTAAGGTCATTGCTACGAGGCTGTGCGTTACTGCGTTGTACTTCTCTATCAGAAGCCACAAAATAATAGCTGTCTGGACATACAGTATTGCCTATTTGGAATTCATACCAGAATGAAACATCACTTTAATTGATTTATATGTTGATTAGATTATTTCATTCTTCTCTCTGTATGGAAAGTCTAGAAAGATGTTATCCAATATACTTTTCTCTGGCAGAGAAATGCCGCTCTGAAGTCACCTTGAGGAGTTCATCCACACAGAGCAGCACTAGCCAAGCTCCCCCACTCTAGCCAAGGAATTTTGAACTCTGTGGTAGGAGAGTACCAAGTATGAATTCATCATGCTTAGCAGGCTACACATATAAAATGACATCATTGCTAACCTTGACAAAGAAAAAGGGACCTTGCTCAAGAGTGTGGGGAGGGGGATGACAAGACACGCACTTCCCAGGTTGCCAAGCTTGCTAGCAAGCCCATGGGTATAAGATTTCATATTTACAGGACCAATAACATACATCAATCCTTCAAAATCATTTTCTTTTTCTTTCTTTTTGTTAGTTGGTCAAGGTTCAACAGAGAGCAACAAAAGCACAATATGTGAAAATTCAGCTTTAAAAGTTCAGCTTTTCTATGTGCAATAAAACAAAATTTAGCAATATTCATGAGGAGCTCCTTTTTTTGGTAAACTGTGTGGTGCTAGTCTTTCATCCGTGTGTCTTGATAATGTATTTCTTGAGAAAGCCAATGTATCTATTCAATATTTCCTACACTGGTTCATATTGTACTTGAGAATATATAAGCCACTTTTCAGATTAGCAAATTATATATTGACTGAAATCCAGTAGTAAGTCACAGCTAAAGTAGTCCAGCTGAATCAGTGGAACTTATGAAGAAGTCCCCACTAATTCAGTTGGTCTGCTCTAATTCTGATTTACATGCTTTTAGCCATAGAGACAAATCAACAAATAATAGTTTCCAAATGCAGCACAAGTATTCTGGGCTGTTTCTAGCATTTTCCTTCTCCTGTCAGAACAGTCACTTTTGTTGGATTACATTCCTCTTTACCTTCTAGCCTCCTGCCTGTCCCACTGTTTTTAGTCCTCCTCTGGGGGGAGGGGGGAGAGACTTCCAGAAGACATAAGGAAGGTAGTGTTGGCATTTCCAGAGAAATGGCAGGAAGTGCTGCAGGAAGTTCAGTGGCTAGGCCACACGGAAGGCCACACATGAACTCAAAGATTCCTAACTGGAGCCTAAGCAGCTTCTGAACATGAGGCACCTAGTCAGAAGTTGAGACTTAAGCAGTTGGGTCATTGCTGATCCCTGTCACCTCCTGGCCTGGAGGTTCCTTCCTCATGCTGTCATTGTCCATCCACAGTGTGGATTGGTTACAAAGGAAGAGGGCATCTGAAGAGGCAGGAGTGAGCCCGATTCCAGACTCAATCTGTATCTCTTTCAACCAAACATTCTGTGTAAATATATGGAAATATAGATTTGAAGCAATGATGTCCTTGGGCTTCATATGATGGTGAGTGGACTTTCAAGCTTTCAGGGAAGTTAGACAAAGCAAAAGGTAGGGAGGGAGTCTTTCTTTAGGATTTTAGAGAAAAAGATTGAATGGCAGTTAATTGAGCAGTTTTGTTCTTCTATGTTTCAGTTTCCCCTAGATTTATCTTAATTTTTAAATGCACAATTGTTTTATTCAGAAAGTCTCAGATCCAATCTTTCGCATCTTCATTTCACCAACAGGGCAGTGGCAACTGATGGGAAAAGACCTGTGTA